AAGAGCATGTTCTTATCCATTCAGACTTAATTTCATATATTTATTGCTCACTATTACTTCTTCCTTTTTATCTTAGGGTATAACATTTGATATAATAGTAGAGTGCATGACTAGAACCACATGCACCTATATGAGTAAAGTATCAGAAACAATGTTGAGTGAAAAAATTATTTGAAAAAATTACTATTTGATATGATTTCTAAAAGTTCAAAAATCCTTATAATGCTGAAATTTGAAAACAAATTCAGGCTTAGTTAACTTACGTGGAGGTATGGAGGAGAGTAAGATTAGGGAGAGGACAATAGGAGACTTTATGTTGTCATAATACATTCCTCAAGGATAGTTCTCAAAATGTGTATCAGGAGATTTAACATGTCCTATTGTGTTGTGGTAGTAGATAATAGGTTTTGAAAAGAGTACATTGAGGACATTCTTCGCTAGTGGAGCGATGTATTAGGTGTACCTGAAGGTTTGAGAAAAGAGAGCTGGAGAAGATGTACCAAACTGCTCAAAGTTTGACTCTTCCTTCAATAAGGAAGGGGAGCTTCATGACTCCACCACCTGCACCATACCATTCCCTCTTGCCTTATGAGACTGAAGTCATGTTTGAGCCCTTCTGACATATATCCAGCAATGGTTTGAGTATAGCATGTATACTAAGGTAGGCCTATTTTAGGTAGGCACAGGACTTCTCTGATGGGTGACTTCGGCCTCAAAACTCTTCAACAGGTTTACCAAACATTCTTAGAACTGCACTGATTCTTGCTGCTTGCTCGACCTTCCTTCCTTGTCTTCTCTACAGGGATCAGACCTACATTGTGGGGCTTATCGCTTGCCCAGCTTTCTCTAGCTCATTTTTCATTTTCCTTCTTCTCTCAATAATAAATCTTGTATGTTTCTAATCCCATCTGCTTTTTGGAAGACCTAAACTAACACATGAGTCAATGTGAAGTGCCTGGCACATAGTAAGCAGTCTACATATACTGCAGTAAACTATGTAAGGAATGATGGTGACTTTGACTGTGGTAATGGTGATGGACGGAAATGTCCAAATTGGAGAGACATTTCAGTGATGGATATAATTAAGACTGTGACTGAATGAATGCAAGGGCTAAAAAGTGGTTGAGTTACCTGGTTTCTTCCCTATTTCTCCCCACTTCCTTCTTTACACGGTAGCCACATTGATTTGCTTGTAGTTCACTGTAATTATAATAATCATTCAGAGTTTGTTACTTATACTGTTATTTTATCATAAAATGTCCTCTCTACTGTCTTCTTACAACTTTACCTTAAAAATTCCTATTTTTTGAGTTTAAGCTCAGGAACCAACTCTTCCAAGAAGCCTTTCCTTTTCCCTTCTACCTCTCACTTTTACAACCTTACCCTGTCCTTGGGTTCCTAAACCATCTTTTGTTTATAGGCATAATAGTTATATTGAATTATAACCAGTCAATTTTTATATCAGTTTCCTGTTTTAGACTCTAGATTCCCTTTGTTATTAGGTAAGACTGCAGAGGTATACAGAAGTGAGTTGATCATTTTGTAATTTATTCAAAGAGTTATGGGAAACCATTAGAGGATTTTAAGTATGGGGTAATATGATGTGATTTGAGTATGAAAAAGATCACTTTAGTTGTTGAATAGATTGGAGGAGTGCAAGAGTAAATTTGGTTTAGTGTGACCTCTCGAACCCAGTTTCTTGGCTCTACCATCTACTAACTGTGTAATCTTGGGACTGTTATTTAACCTTTCTTTGCCCCAGTTTCCCTATCTGTAAGATGGGGATAAAAATAGTATATTAGAGCTGCTGTGAAGATTCAGTGAGTTAAAAAAAACTTAAAATAGTGTCTGGCACATAGTAAGCAGTCAGATGTTACCTATTATGTCATTATTTAACAAATATATGTGTGTTTATTACATCATAGGCACTAGGCTAGATACCATTATTAAGCTGAGTTTTACAAATACAAAAAGCAAGTTCAAATTAATAGACAAAACTTTGAGTTATAATGATATCTCTAAGAATTATAAAACAAACTATTTGGCTATTGACATGTTATAATTCAGAGGAGATATTCTATTTTGATTTCTTTTGACATTAGGGGTTTTTTTCTATTAGGGGCTCCATTATTTACTCATTTACTCCATTAAATGATTCACTAGGAAACATATTTGGATGAATGAATCCTAAGTATGGCCCTATCCTTTTGTTGTAAGTTTCCCTGCTTTACAGCTTGGTAACTGAGAAATCCGTCAGGCATGGTAGCTCATGCCTATAATCCCAGCACTTTGGGAGGCTGAGGTGGGAGGATCGTTTGAGGCCAGGAGTTTGAGACCAGCCTGGGAACATAGCAAGACCCCACTTCTACAAAAAATAGAAAAATTAGCTGGGTGTTGTGGTGTGCACCTGTAGTCCAGGCTACTTGGGAGGCTGAGGCAGGTGGATTGCCTGAGCCCAGGAGTTTGAGGCTTCAGTTAGCTGTGATTGTGCCATGCACCCTGGCCTGGGCAGCAGAGTGAGACTCTGTCTCAAAAAAAAAAAAAGGAAATTAATTTTTTGAACATGTAGTAGTACTAAATATATTTCTTTAATGACTGACCTTTTGGTAAAATTTGAGCTTTATAAGTTCCGAGTTTTTGTATCCTAATTTATGAGAGCTTTTGTTTTTGTTTAAATAGAGGAGTCAGTGATAATTGATGTGTAAATGGATAATGAATATATGGGGAAGTTAGGTTTTCTTTAATGGAATTTAAATGACTAAGTTTTTAAAAACGTCAGAATTGTATACATCTCTTGTGTTAAGGAATTTAAAGGATTTATACTTGTTTTTTCACAAGAAAAATATTAATAGCAGTTAACTTTGGGAGATGAGATTAGGAGATAGAGGCATACTTTTAAAACTAAATTTTATATAGTAAATAGCAGAGAATTAAAGAGGAAAACAGTGACAAAATCAAAATAGAAACCAATGTATGCTTGAGACAACTTACAAGAGTGCGTGAGTCATGTGAATGAATTTAGGCACCATTGGATTGATCTAGTATAATCCATGGAGAGTGTACTAAAACAGAACTTAATTTTGTCTCTGTTCTGGTTCCATTATTAATGTTTGTTTATATTTTCAGGGATGTGCATGCAGTCTGTCTCTGGGATGATAAAGGCCCAGCAAAAATTCATCAGGCTTTAAAAGAAGACATTCTTGAGTTTATTAAGCAAGCACAAGCAGTAAGTTCTGCATCTTTATTTTAGATTGGTTTTAAAACTACTCAATACCATATTTTATGATTTTGAAGGTAGGACTTCCTGAAGTAATTTTAAAATACCACATTAATTTTTGACATATTTGTTAAATAGATTTTTTAATGAAATGATTGTCACTTTTTGGATTTTTTTCTCCCACGGTGATATTTCTGTCAAGGGAATACATTATTATCCTCAATTAAAAGATACTATAAAGAATTTATTTTTTTATACATTTTTTAGAAGTCCCCCCATGATTATTTTTTGGCTGCATGTCAGTCCACAGAAATCTTTTTTTATCCTTCATGACTAATACCTCTTCTCAAGTTGACAGTAATTTTCTTCATTTCCAAATACTTCTCCAATTGTAAAATCCTTGGACTGTCCTATGTACTGCTGCTGCTGTGCTGAAATTTAGCACTCTGTGTTAGTATTATGTATAAATGGTTAATATTATTGAAATGAAGACAAATCTTATTTAGGCAGTAAATAACTGTGCAAGAGTTAATTTTGTTTGTTTTGTTTTTATTAACACCTTGTAATGTACTATTTCGTATAAACTATGGCCCCTTACAATTTTGACGAGGGGCCTAAGGACATGAGATTATTTCCTTTCTATAAAATAAAGTCTGAAAACTAGAACACAAGAATTTCTTATTCTTTTGTTGCATTTTTACGTCAGTGTCTTGTACAATATTAGTAAAAATTGTTAAAAAATCTTGTTAAGGCCGAGTGTGGTGACTCATGCCTGTAATGTATCACTCTGAGAGACTGAGGCAGGAGGATTGCTTGAACTCAGGAGTGTCCAAGATCTACCCTCTTGAGCAACAAAAGAATGAGACATACCGTCCTACACAAATGAAAGAAATTAGCTGGACAACTAGAAATAAAGAAAAGAAAATAGCTGGGCATGGTGGTGCATGCTGTAGTAACCCAGACATAATTGGGAGGAACATAGAGCCCAGATATAGCTACAAGCCAGGAGTAAATATAGAGAGTATGACTAGATAGAGACATAACAAAAAGAACATATAGAAAACAGCACTCTGGCAGGCAGAGATCTTCTCAAAAAAAATCTTAATACCAATAGGTGCTTAGCATTGAAAAAATATACTAGATTTTTATACATAATATAAATGATAGCATTAACGATACTGGAATCAAGTATATGATAATGATAAAACTGGTTAAGAGAATACATAGGCTAGTTAGACACACATATGAAAATAATTAGATGCGAGTGAAGACATAATATTAAGAATAAAAAATAAAAAATAAAATAATTATGAATTAAATATTTTATTGATAGCATCTTGATACAGTTTGTACAAATTGAATCTGGTCTATAGGACAGAGATCTATCTGTGCTAAATGCTATTTTAAGCTATGCTTTAGAGACTTAAATAGCTTCGCAATAAAGGGCAAGAATATAAAACAAAACCGAGAAAACAATATAATATGTTTGAGACCGGGTCTTGGTCTCTTTTTTTTTTTTTCTTTTGCAGACGTCTCACTTTGTTCCGCAGCCGCTAGAGTGGCCACTGGCGTCAGCGCCTAGCTCACACGCACACCTCGACACCTCCTCGCTCAAAGGTTCCTGCTGCCCTCAGACCTCCAAAGAAAAAAAAACAAGAAGAGAGAAAGAAGATACAAAAAAAAAAAAGGCTGCCCGGCTACATTTTTTCATCTGTATTATTCAGTTAAGCCATCAAGTTCTTGTTCAAAAAAGAGAAAGAAAGAAGAATAAGACAAACAAAAGTTGCTCGGCTAGGTTTGTGACCACATCATAGAAAAAAAAGAAAAAAAATAAAAAAAAAAAAAAGGCAAAAAACGTCCGCCTCGCCTACGGCCATACATACCAATAAACGCAAGAGTGCAGGATACAAGGATCAATGTGACAAAGCGCGCCAGCCTGGGTCATATACATCAAAAATATAGAGATGAGACTAAACACACAATTGCGGTAGAGAACATGATCAAATAGATATACTGCAACCCTCGAACCCGCCAGGCTGCGAAGTGTCTCTATTGCATACGTAAGCAATAGGCTAATAATATTTTTTTTAGACTGTACGAATGAGATCTCTCTACATGTGTCATGTTATGCTAGGTAATCAACAAATACACTGAGCAAAAAATCACAACAAAAAAAGAATCTTCTGGCTTAAGCCTCCCAGAGTGCGAGGATTACAGGTGTGAGCCACTGTGCCTGACCCAAAACTATTTTCTTAAAGCCAAGCCCTACACAAATAGAGAATAGGTAGATATTAAGCAATCATATAAGCTACTATGGAAATAGAGATGAGCGAGAGCAAAATTGCTGGAGCTCAGGAGTTTGGGTTACTGGGGCAATATAGTAAAGAGAGCCAACAATTAATTATAATAAAGAGAGAAGAAAACATAGTATTCCAATTAGAAAATTTAAAAATAGTTTCTTATTGAAATATAAGAAAGACAAATAACAACTTATTTTTTTTTTTAATGCCTTTTTTTTGAGAGAGAGACCTACTCACTGTTGCCTGAGGAAGGGAACTCATCAGAGCATACCAGATAAACATTCACATCATTGGGCTCAGCAATCCTTAACAAATAATCAAACCATCATTAGAGATACATAATAAAGATAAAAATAAGATATAGCACACACAACTAGACAACTAACTATTATCTACAAATATTTTATTTTAGTAGAGATGGATATATTATGCTATGGTGCTACCAAAACGAAGATAGATCTTGAACCTCTGTCCTCAAGCGATCCTCTCATGTTGGCCTCCCAAATTGCTAGGTTCATAGGCATGAGCCACTGTGCCTAGACCTCTTATGACTTTTGATAAAGATAGGAATTATATTACCTTTTATTATCAAAATTGGATAGAACTTTATTCTTCAATTTCTGGAAATAGGCTTATAAAGAAATAAATACGTATATCATAGCACTCCAAAAAAACAAGCTCGGGAAGGCCCAAGGCAGGCGATTGAATTGGAGAAATCTGGAGTTTGAACCCAACGCCTGAGCAGACCGGCGTCCCATACTAAAGATAAAAAAAATATAGACACATAAATATATATAGAAAATTAGCCGGGTAAAACGGGTGCGCATGCCATGTAGATGAACACACAGACACAGGAGCTAGAGAAGAGAAAGATTACAAATTACGCCCAGAAAAATAAGAGGTTGCTGTGAGTTAGGCTGCGATGCCACACGGCACTCGGGCCACCTCTACCTTAAAAGAGTTTTAAACTTTTAGATTATAGAAAAATATTGGGTGAGTCATTGTTACTAAATCAAACTCTTTACAACAATGAACTATCTGTTAAGAAAGCCAACTGTCCCAACTGAAAAGACACTACTGCATGGACATTAAATGTTTTTGTTTTCGCAAATAAGATACATAATTATATCATTCATTTAGTAGGTATGTATTATATTTATATTTATCATTTTTGATATATATAGAAAATTTTTGAGACAGAGTCTCACTTACGTGTTGCCGCAGGCTAGAGTGAACGTTGCATGGCACTGCAGCTCCTACTCACAGCAGACCTCAATACTCCTGGGTCCAAGCAATTCCTGCATCACCTCCACGAGTAGCTGGGAGCTGACAGGCATGCAGAGTCCACCATGCCCCGCTGCATTTTTATATATATATTAGTTGCCAATTAATGTCTTTCTATTTATCATGTAGAGAACGGTGCTGCTCTTGCTCAGGCTGGTTTCAAACTCCCGACCTTGAGCAATCCGCCCGCCTTGGCCTCCCAGAGTGCTAGGATTACAGGGTGAGCCACCACACCCGGCATTCTTTGTGTTTTTAAAGGACAGAAAAAGAAATAAAAATAATAAACATACAGTGCTTGAGAGATTATTTGGAAATTGGATTCTTTTTTTTGTTTGGATTAACACAGCTATTTTATTTGTTAATAATTCTGTGGCATAGCCATTTAGGCTGTTCTCAGCTGATTTTGTCTAAGCTTGTTAATGTAGCAATAGTTAGCTTTTTGGCTCTGCAGGGACTGGGTGGGCCAAGAAAGCTTTAAGCACATATCTAGCATTTGGTGTTGGCTTTCTCTTCCCTTGTGTGATTTCTCATTCTCAAGGAAACCAATCTTTGAGGTGAAAGTGAAATCTGTAAGACCTCTTCGGGTCTAGGCTTGGAAATCTTAAAACATTGCCTCTGTGGCATTGTTTTGGTCAAAGCAAGTCACAGGACCAGCCTAAACTTCAGGAATGGGGAAATGGACTCTTTTCCCCTTTTAAAAAAAATGAGATATAATTCACATACCATAAAATTCACTGTCATGAAGCATATGAATCAATGGGTTAGTATATACACAAAGTGGTACAACCATTAGCCACTAATTCCAGAATATTTTTATCACCCTAAAAAGAAACTCTGTACCTATTAACAGTCACTCCCTATTATCCCCTCCTCCCAACCTACTAAACCACTAATCTACTTTCTGTCTCTATGATGTCTGTTTTTGATATTTCTTATAAATGGAATCATACAATATATGTAGCCTTTTGTAACTGGTTTCTTTCACTTGGATAATGATTTCAAGATTCATCTATGTTACCAGCATTTATCAGTATTTTTTTTTCATTTTATGTCTGAATAATATTCCATTATGTGGATATACCATATATCATTTATCCATTCATCAGTTGATGGACATTTGGGTTGTTTCTGCTGTTTATTTTGAATAATGTTGCTATGAACATTCGTGTATAAGTTTTTTTGTGAACATATGTTTCAATTTCTTTTGGATGTAATACAATTAGTATAATAAATTTAAAAATTTAAATTATGGCATGTTTTGTTTTTATTTTCAAAGCACCTAGATTTATTTCAGATTGGTACAATTCTTTTTTTCAGCGAGTACTGAGCCATCAAGATGATACAGCTTTGCTAAAAGCATATATTGTTGAATGGAGAAAATTCTTTACACAATGTGATATTTTACCGAAACCTTTTTGTCAACTAGAGATTACTTTAATGGGTAAACAGGGCAGCAATAAAAAATCAAATGTGGAAGACAGTATTGTTCGAAAGGTAAGTTAATTTTTCCCCATTGTTTTTCTAATATTCTTCAGTAAGAAGGTAATTTGAAGGCATTTGGCAGTAATTTAGACTTTAAGTGGGTTTTTCTACTTCACATGTAAATTCCTTTTCAGCTCTTACTAGAGTTTATTGAATAATATTATTATTAATATTTTCTTTCACCTATCTTTAGCTTGAATTCTCTTTCATTTTTTAATGTCTTAAGCTGCAGATCTATGTCTTCAAACATTACCTCCTTTGCTTTTCCTTTTTTCTTCTTTTCCTGGTTTTCATCTTTAGTATTTTATTTTCCATTTCTTTTTTTATTGTACTATAAATTAAATTAGTTTTTTTCCTCTTTTAAAACCTCTATTATGTTGTCATCTGATGTCTTTTTGTTTGTGGCTAAATTGCCGTCTGTTTTTATAATCTTTCTTTTACTTGATTCTACCTATTATAAATTCAATATATACTGTGTTTATTTTCTTATTTTGTGTAGTTTCAAATTAAAAGCTTTGTGCCCAGTAACCAGTCATGATTTAATGGTAAGAACTCAGCCTTGAGAGTGAAGGTTCCTAGGTTTCCCATTCAACTCCTCAACACTCTTCAAACTTTCTATTTTCATTTTCCATATATCTTCCTACTCATGAGACTCAAGTGGAACCATAGATTTGAAAAGTAAAAAATGCCATTTGAACTTTAAAGAATTTACTATTTGCTGTGGTGGTTATAGTAACAAACTCAGGCATTAATAATGTGGCTTGGGCATTATTGCCCCCTCTTTGCCTTAAAATTTGCTCTTATGTTGACAGGGATACTGTAAATTTAGGTAACCAATGGTTTTTCAGTGATAGGAATAATTGCAGTATGAGAAATTTGCACCGAACAAAGAAAAAGATGAAAAACACTTCTAGATGATATTTAATTTGCATTCCCATAATCTTTTCCCTCTTTTGTTTTTCTGTGTTTTTTTTTAACTTTTACCATTCTGTATTGTTCATAGGAAGCAGTATCACTTAATGATTAAGAGTACTGATTGTGGTACCACAGTTTTTGGATTCAAAGCCCATTGTTGCCACTTATGGGGTGCAGTATTGTGGGAAAGTGCTTTCTGTGCCCAGATTTCACACATCTAAAGGGGAAATAATAATAGTAGTTATTTAAAGGTTGTGAAGATTAAGTATGTGTGGAAAATACATAGAGCAGTCCAAGGTACATAGTGAACGTTATAAAGCTATTAACTCTTATTATTGCTGCTGCTGTTGCTAATATATATATATATATATATATTATATTTGTCCAAGTTATAATACTTGGAGCACCAATATGTACCCACCAATGTGTATATATCATTTCCATCGTTTTAATGGAACATCTGTAAGCTAGATTTACTTATTCTTTTTTTGAGGTTCAGTGTCAAACATTTTCTATTGATCCTTTTTGTATTTTTTTATGTGTCTGCACAAACACATGTGTATGAGTATTCCAAACACACCAAGATTTCTAAAATTCAACCTTGGAACTATAGGAGAAGAAACATTTTCCATGCATCATATTTAATTTTTATAACTGCCTGAAATTTGTACTATTATTTTCACTATTTTACACATAGGAAATCAAGTAAATAAGTAACAGAGCTGAGATTTAAACCCAATTATATCTTATTCTGAAAAACCTGTTCTTTACCATTATGGTAAATATGCTACTTCCCTGAAAGCCTAAGAATTTATTTTCCTTCTTTAATGTTTGTCTATGGTACTTGGTATATTAATAATTGAAAATGATGTCATATTTTGTTCATGTTTTCCTAGCTTATGCTTGATACATGGAATGAGTCAATCTTTTCAAATATAAAGAACAGACTCCAAGATAGTGCAATGAAACTGGTACATGCTGAAAGATTAGGAGAAGCTTTTGATTCTCAGCTGGTTATTGGAGTAAGAGAATCTTATGGTATGTTCTGAATTTTTATGGTCATAATTTCTCTTTCATGGAAATTCTAGGACAATTATAGAATAGTACTATCAAAGTTATTATTAATATATAAAGCCACATCTTTTTGTGCCAGATGTATTTCTTAAAGAGCACACAAATTATGTTTATTCTGCTTTAAAGAATCTATAGAAACTCATATTCATGTGGTTAATATTTATTTTCTCCATGTCATTAATTTCTTGGCTGGAAAATCTTTTTAGTGACTTAAATCAGAGAAATATAAATTTGAATTTATAGCTCATAGCAGGTAACTATAGCCCATAAAAACATTTTATATTTATGTTTTCAGGAAGTTTATTACTTGCATGTATACATTCTCTCCTAACTTCTTAGCTTCTGACAATGATATTCTCATTTGTTTCCCCTGACTTAGAATATTCTTCTTTCTCCCTCTTCATCATCTAATTCATCCTCATCCTCTATTTCCTCATAGAGACCTTTTGTAATTCCCAGACTTAAGGAATTTTGTAATTCCCAGGTTAAGTCATCTCACTTAATGCTTCATAGTACCTTTGCTTCACTGACCTAATGCTTTTGTGTGACTGTGTTGTTGACACTATATCTTTACTGAACATAGAATGCCTGTCACGAAATCATTCTCCAAAAAAGTATTTGTTGAATTAATGAACCTCTAGAATTATTTTTGACTAGCTTTTTCTCCATTGTCCCCATATTTCTTTACTAAGTCTTCAGATTTTCATTAGCAGTGTCCCTGAAAATGTCTGTCTGTCTGTCTTTCTTTCTTTCTTTCTTTCTTTCTTTCTTTCTTTCTTTCTTTCTTTCTTTCTTTCTTTCTTTCTTTCTTTCTTTCTTTCTCCTTCCTTCCTTCCTTCCTTCCTTCCTTCCTTCCTTCCTTCCTTCCTTCTTTCTTTCTTTCTTTTCCCTCCTTCCCTTCCTCCCTTTCCTCTTTCCTCTTTCCTTTCCTCTCTCCTTTCCCTTCTCCTTTCCTTTCCTTTTCCTTTCCTTTCCTACTTTTCTTTCTTTCTTTTCTTCTGGACTAACACCAGTTTAGACCTCTTTAAACTTCACATCTAGACTTTTGAAACAGTCTTTTTATAGTTTCCTTATTGCTGTTATTTAGCCCATATAGGGTTCACAAGATTAATTTGTAAGTACTGTTAGCATTTTTCCTACTTACCTCTTAAGTGGTACACCATGCTAAATTCAGGTTACTTAGTTTGAGATTTGAAGCTCTCCACAGCCATTCCTTATTTACTTTTCTACCTTATCTTCTATTAACCTTACAATGCACTTAGACAACATAGTCATTATAGCTTGTGCTTTTCTGCTTCTGAATATTTGCTTTCCTTGCTAATCTCTCTCTATGCAAATCCTAGTTTATTCTTTAAGATTCAATTTTAGGCTGGACACAGTGGCTCATGCCTGTAATCCTAGCACTCTGGGAGGTTGGAGTGGGAGGATGGCTTGAGCTCAGGAGTTTGAGACCAGCCTGAGCAATAGTGAGACCCCGTCTCTACTAAAAATAGAAAAAATTAGCCAGCCATGGTGGCATGGGCCTGTAGTCCCAGCTGCTCAGGAGGCTGAGGCAGGAGGATTCCTTGAGCCCAGGAGTTTGAGGTTGCTATGAGCTAGGCTGACTCTAGCCCGGGCAACAGAGTGAAACTCTTGTCTCAAAAAAAGATTCAGTTTTAATCCCATATCTTCTGTGTTAAAATTTTATCTTGATCATCCAATTAGAAGTTCATCTCTTTCCTATTAAAAAATAATAGTCTGCATTATCTATGCTATTTATTTGTTACTTTATTGCTTTGTGCTGCTATATTTTTAAGTTTGGGAAGAAAGATTTTGTCTTACATGGTTATGTGTTCTCTTGAGCTTTGTTACTTTGTACATAATGACTCCTCAATATTTATTTCATTTATTGTACTCAAAATATTGATTTAAATCATAATTAGAGTAAAATTTTATTTTCTGTTTTTCAGTTAACCTTTGCTCTAATCCTGAGGATAAGCTTCAAATTTATAGGGACAATTTTGAGAAGGCATACTTGGATTCAACAGAGAGATTTTATAGAACACAGGCACCCTCGTATTTGCAACAAAATGGTGTACAGAATTATATGAAATATGTAAGTCAGAACTTAGTATATGTGATAATTTGAGCTATTCTCTTGCTATTCTTGAAATCATTGCTATTTTGCTTCTGGACAGGCAGATGCTAAATTAAAAGAAGAAGAAAAACGAGCACTACGTTATTTAGAAACAAGACGAGAATGTAACTCTGTTGAAGCAGTAAGTAATTTTGTAATTGTACATTTTATGGGATTATTTGAAGTACAGTAGCACAGGAATGGCAAATACACAACACAGATAACATTATCCTTTCTCATGACTCTGACCAACATTACTGATTGATTATAGTACTCTCTCCCAGTGAGTCAAAGTACAGCTTCAGGAGGTACCTTATTCAGCACACAATGTTCTTCGGAGCTGGTGTGCAAGATGAAATCTATTTGCCATCCCTGCTCTAGACTTTACTATGTTTAATATACTTAACTTTTAATCAATTGTCTCATTTATTGTGTTTTATGTATATCTAAAGTTAACCATTTTACTGATTTTCATGTTGCAAGTAAAACTTGTTCTTTAGAGATAATAGCTGATTCTCATTTGTTGCAGCAGTTACATTTTATAAAGTGGTTGTGAACACTGAATTAGTGAATACTGAACCATTACTCCTAGGGGATATTTCCTCTTGTCCTAGGAAGATGTTTCAAACTTCATCTTTTCATAAGATAAAATATTAATTATTTGATAAGTGATCATGGGCTTTTCATATTGTTTTATTTTATATTATATAATAAGATCCTCATTTAAACAAAAACTAATCAAAGGTAATAGCCATGCTAGGTATTTTCTTTTACATGGAGAGCTGACCTTAGTGTGCTTTTAGTAAGGAAAGTAAGAATCAAGTTTGGACAGAGTCTTGGAATCTGCTTAAATATAACAATAGTATTTCCTCCACTTCCTTTCAGTCTTTGAAGCATAGGAGCTCCAAAGGTAACATTCAAAGGTAACATTCTAGCTTGCCTATAACCTAACATTTTTCAACTATGAATGGGGTTTTTAAAATTTTTTTTACTTCTGACTTTTTTTTAGCTTCTTCCATCTTGATTGGTAGTCATGTTTATTTTATTCTTATTCAGAAATCATACTGAGCTGTATCTTTTTTTCCCTTTTTTTCCCTTTGCTCATGATTTGCAATACATATCCTCTTTCAATGGTTAAAATAATTTTGATATTGGCAAAAGAGAGGGGCTAATTTAATGGCTGTTTATAGAAGTTCATCATAGAATTTAAAACCAGGCTTGGGGCCATGCTCATGCCTATAATCCTAGCACTCTAGGAGTCTGAGGCGGGAGGATTGCTTGAGGTCAGGAGTTAGAGACCAACCTAAGCAAGAGGAAGACCCCATCCCTACTAAAAATAGAAAAAATTAGTTGGGCATGTGCTACATACCTTTAGTCCCAGTTATTTGGGAGGCTGAAGCAGGAGGATCGTTTGAGCCCAGGAGTTTGAGGTTGCAGTGAGCTCTGATGACACTACTGCACTCTCACTGGGCATTAGATTGAGACTCTGTCTCAAAAATAAATAAATTAATAAATAAAACCAAGCTTGGACTTCACTCCAAAGGCAAGGAAGTCTATTGAGTTTTGTTCTGTTTTGTTTTGTTTTTGAGACAGAGTATCACTCTCTTGCATGGGCTAGAGTGCTGTGGCTTCAGCCTAGCTCACAGCAACCTCAAACTCCTGGGCTCAAGCAATCCTCCTGCCTCAGCCTCCCAAGTAGCTGGGACTACAGGATTCCACATGCACGGCTAATTTTTTATATCTATCTATCATCTATCTATCTATCTATCTATCTATCTATCTATCTATCTATCTATCTATCTATCTATCTAGTTTAGTTGTCCAGCTAATTTCTTTCTATTTTTTTAGTAGAGACTGGGTCTTGCTCTTGCTCATGCTGGTCTTGAACTCCTGAGCTCAATAATCCTCCCGCCTCGGCCTCCCAGAGTGCAAGGATTATAGGCATGAACCATCACGCCTGGCCAGCCATTGAGTTTTTTTTTTTTTTTTTTTTTGAGACAGAGGTCTCGCTTGTTGCCCAGGCTAGAGTGAGTGCCGTGGCATCAGCCTAGCTCACAGCAACCTCAAACTCCTGGGCTCAAGCAATCCTTCTGCCTCAGCCTCCCGAGTAGCTGGGACTACAGGCATGCACCCCATGCCCGCTAATTTTATATAGATATTATTAATTGCCAATTAATTTGTTTCTATTTATAGTAGAAGATGCGGGCGTCTCGCTCTGCTCAGGCTGGTTTCGAACTCCTGACCTCGAGCAATCCGCCCGTCTCGGCCTCCCAGAGTGCTAGGATTACAGGCTTGAGCCACCGCGCCCGGCCCATTGAGTTTTTTTAATACAGGTTTGCCGTGGTCAAAAATATTGCTCAGAAAGATTAGTCTTGTAACAATAAAAATCAATTGGAAGAGGGGAGAGCTGGGAATAAGAAGTAGAAAGTGTTTGTGATAATTCAAGTGGGGTATTAAGAGAACCAAATAGAGTATAGCAGTGGGAATGGAAAAGATAAGGGAAGAGGAAAAAAACTTGGAGAGGTGAAACATTGTGTTGTAGGAATGGGTTAGATATTGCAGAGGATCCAGCCAATAATTTTTTGGTGGTCTCAGCTTGGGAGAACTGTGCTGTTACAGAAAGATTAGGTACAAAAATAAGTCTGTCTATTTTTTTCTCTCTCTTTTTTCATTGCCTGCTATCTTCTTCCTTCAGAAAAAATAAGTCTTAATGAGGGAGAAAGATGAGTTTAGTTTGGGAGATTTGAATATTTTTGATTGATGTGCCTGTAGTACCTAGATGTGGATGTTGTAGTTTTGTAAGGTGAAATTGTTTGTTCCTTTATACCAGTTTATACAGCTTAGTTGTATCATATGCACATTATGAGTATTCAACTATAAAGGACCAACTAAAAGAAACATTGAGAGCAAGAAAAAGAGAATGAGAAAAGCTGAGAAAAACAAATACAATAGTTTGTATGGAATAGTTAAGTCTCACTTTCTACTTTAAAACACACACAAACACACAGAGGGAAAAAATTGAAATAAAACATGTGAATTTACTCTTTCACAGTTAACAAACAGTTTGAGCATCTCACCAAGCTGAATGATTCTAGGGTTTAAAGATTAGTATTTTTTTTTTTAACAACAAAGACCCGAAGTGTAATATAGCATGCCTCCAAAGAAATTGTACTTTATGGAGGACGTAATAGGTCTTTTGTGTTTTGAGACAGAGTCTTGCTCTGTTACCTGGACTAGAGTATAGTGGCATCGTCATAGCTCACTGCAACCTCAAACTCCTTAAGCTCAAGTGATACACCGCCTCAGCCTTCTGAGTAGCTGGGAGTACAGGTGCATACCACCACGCCCAGCTTATTTTTTCTGCTTTTTTTTTGTAGAGAAAATACTCTTGCTCAGGCTCATCTCAAATTCCTGACTTCAAGCAATCCTCCCCCCTTGGCCTTCTAGTGTGCTGGATTATAGGCACCTACTCTATTTTTGTGGTTTGCTTTTATTTTGTCTTGACTTTTCTGCTTATTTTAAAAAATCAATGTTTAGGCTGGGCATGGTGGCTCATGCCTGTAATCATAGCACTCTGGGAGGCTGATGCGGGCAGATTGCTCCAGGTCAGGAGTTCCGGTCTGAGCAAGAGTGAGACCCCGTCTCTACTATAAATAGAAAGAAATTAATTGGCCAACTAATATATATAGAAAAAATTAGCCGGGCATGGTGATGCATGCCTGTAGTCCCAGCTACTCAGGAGGCTAAGGCAGAAGGATCGCTTGAGCCCAGGAGTTGAGGTTGCTGTGAGCTAGGCTGACGCCATGGCACTCACTCTAGCCTGGGCAACAAAGCGAGACACTGTCTCAAAAAATAAATAAATAAATAAATGTTTGATGGAAACAATACATATATACAGAAACGTACTCAAATCTTTAAGTATATAATAGGTGAATTGTAAAAACGAAACGAATAAAGAAAAGTGACTTGTCACAAAGTGAACATACCCATGAACTTACCAGAACAATCGTGCCCCACAGAACTTATCATACCTTCTTCCAAGTTACTATTATCATTTTTTTCTTCAAAGGTTGTCACTCTCCTAACTTTTAACAAGATAGGTTAATACTAACTAGCAGTTGCATTATTGTTGTATAGTAAAGCACCAAAACTGTAGGATTAATTATAACATTGGGGATTGAAACTTTAGTACAGATACATTACTGTATCATATACCTCACTGAGCTAAGGAGGCCATTTAATATATATATATGTGTGTATATATATATATATACATACACATATGTATACTATACCTACTATTTATTAAATATTTGTTCATTCACAATTTTTGTTTCCAAAGTGAAATGATTTGTTAAAATGAAGTATTGTGTTATGGAAGGAACAGTAAACTAAAATATTAACTAAGTCCTTCCTGGATTTTAATTTAATATAACAAAATATGAAGAGTATTATCTGAATATTTAGGAAGAAAAAGTCACTTTCTACACACAAAAAAGTATCAGAACAGACTTACCTCCTTAAATTCTCTCTAGAGGAATTATTAGTCATCAGAACATGCTATGCTTTATTTTAATGCTTATTGATACTAGTTTCAGTCTATACTTATCTATTAGGCTATTCTTATTCATGGAGGACATATTTACCATTGTAGTCACTTCATATTAAGCTACATAGTAATGCATACCAGAATTTAAGATTAAAGTATGTAAATTTTTGGCAGTTATATTTTTCTCTGAAAATTAGCAAACTATGCTTTATCAATTACCTTCTTTGAATTTAGTTAATATAAATCAGTCTTCTAAACTTGATTAATTTTTAGTATACTAATGAAAGCAATTTTTTGGACCTATATTCTATGTAAAGAGCAAAGTACCTAAATGGTACCCAGTTGTCAGGCCAGGCCTAATAAGGTCTAGATATACATTTCAAGTAATGTTGATGTACTGCTTAGCAGCTTTCTAAATTCTTTCATTGTTGTAAGAGTTTTATTTCATTCTCTTGGATATTTGAAGCATCTAATTACATCATCTGAAAATGATGATGCTTTCTTCTTCCTTTCGAATATTAAATACCTCCTATTCCTTCAGTGCACTAAATTCATTGCTAGTTAGCTCTAGAAAAATGATAAATAATGTTGAG